TCACAGTCCATGGGGGTTGGGGGTTGGAGGGAGGAGATAACAAAAAAATGATTCGGTATCCACTCAAGAGCTCAAAGCTTGCTGGAAGCCTGGGACAGGGAAAACCAATTTCCTCCAACTCCTACGTAGGACAGCAAGGTCTAAGTAGGGCAGAGTACTTCAAATGAGGTTGGTCTCAGAATCCTTGGGCTCCATCACCATGACGATGATGGGCTTGCTGGGGAGTGACATGGGGAGGGCAGAGGTGGGGTTGGAGCTGTTGGAGAGAATGGCAGGGACACCGGGCTTCACGGTGTAGTCAGGAAGAGAACAAGGGGCTCAGAGTGAAGGCAGGAGCTAAGAGAGGACGAAGGTGCTTAGAAAGTGGATGGGGAGGGCTCAGGAGCAGCTCCATTCAAAGATGAAAACATGCAGAGTATGTCTGAAGGTATGGGCCGGGGACCCTGGTATTTGGGCCCAGAGTATATAGCGATCTAACAGTGCTAAGGGGGAGACAGGAACCCAACTCCCTCACAAAGCAGGGTGCTCTCTGCAGGGCACCTGGGCCTGCAGAGCAGTGTACAGAACAGGTCCCACTTAAGAGCTGTCTGGACGCAGTGTGTCTAGGTGAAACTGAAGGTCCTACATCTCAGAGTGCCGTGTCAAGCCCATACATACAGCGCGGCCAGAGAGGGCATGGCAAAGCTAACAAGGGTCCCGGACCAGAGCCAGGGCAGAGGTCCCATGTAACAATGACCCCAGTGTTACCAAAGTAGGAGCCAAGCAAATACTGAGCTGATGAATGTCGGAGAGATTCACCAAAGAGTAATGATGTTGAGTTGGGATGCTCAGGGCATCCTGTGGACGACGAGAGCCATGTAAAGCATGGGCGACGTAAGATCTTTCAGGCCATCATCGTCCCGGCCAACAACGATTAATGGCAATGAGTAACGGTGGCCCGACACGTCTCTGCAGAATTTGGAGCTGGGTAAGGTTGTGGTGGCCTTCGTGTGAGGTAACACTTCTGGCAAGGCCTGTTGTGCCCAGTTCTTGTGGTCAGCCACACACACTTGCACGAGGCGCCCTCCTTTACAAACGCCCCATGTTCTCTATTTATTTTTGTTAGGATTTGGCAAAAGTGACTTAACTTAGACTCTGAAACTTTAACAAACACATCACATCATTCCCCACCCCACCCCCAACAGAAACACCACCATTGATCATTGATCATTGTTTCTTAAGCGCCAGAAACACCACCATTGATCATTCTGATCAGAATCTAGGAATAGGGAAGTAGAAGGAAAAATAAACGTGTTCAGAATTTTTTTTTCATTTCAAAAGCTGTTTTTTTTTTAATCTGTTTGTAAATATATATGATTTTTTGCTGTTGTTGTTGTTGTTAGAGAAATTTCAAGTTGGCTGTGGAAAGAGTTTGGCTTTGTCTGTGACCAAGGCCGGGCTGAACGGAGGTTTCCCTTTAGTACAGGTCTCTATATCCCAGCCCAGCTCTCTGAGGCTACACAAGTAATGAGGCATTCATCCCTACCTCTCCCCATCCCACCCCAAACACACAGGGCTCTCTCCAGCCATTCTGGCTTAGAGATTGTGAAGGCCCATGAGAGCTGAGATCACAGCCAGTGTGATATGGCTGCAGTCCCCAGAGCCCACTAGAGAGAGCCCTTCATTGTTCCTTATAGCTGGCAGAGGCTCAGTAGCTATCCGGCATCCGACTCCAGCATGACCGGGTATGTGGCAAAGCCAGAAGTGGACGAGTACCCAAGAGCCTGGCTAGCAGGCACAGAAGGCCTGTGGGTAGAGGCCTGGGGTGCAGGGTCGGGTCTATGGATAGATAGATCCCTTGCTCCTCTGAGAATGCAACTGTAGGTCAGTGGGGGAAAAAATGGCCTCGATGGTAAAGCTATGTTTCTTTGCCTTTGATGAATGTCACCTAGAATCAGCTTGTCCCTGGGGCCTACTCTGTATATCCCCTGGGTGTCTGCCTCCTCTCTGTTTAGAGGCTTGGCAACCACAACCCTGGTCTCCAAGGCCCACCCTCCCCCCACACACACTGTGAAGTGATTGCTCATCGTCCTTTGAGCTGACCTCCACAGTGATCAGGCCTCTCCCCAAAGCCTGCCTCTCTCTCGAGAGACAGCAGGCTCAGGCTTCTGCTGGGGCAGTGATGGGACTGTCATTAGCCCAGGTGTTGGGCTGGAGCTCTTGTGCATTCTCAAAATGTGTGGTCCTTTTGTGTGGAGCTTGTGGCTTCTCTGAACCTTCATTCACCCCTAGTGGACAGCGCTGTCAGGTTCTCTGCTTCACCTCTCCACCACCCTGTCACACTTGCTTTATGTCTTCCTGGAGTCTGCCCAACTGTCTAGACTGCCACTGCCTTTCTTAGCCTCCCATCTCTGACGAGGTATACTTCATATACACACTGGGAAAATGTGTACATCTTTTCTGTCGTTTTGGCTGGGAAGGGCACCAGCATGGAGCCCAGGCTGCCTCCTAGGGCCCACTGCTATCTACCCAGCATCCTCAACTTTGAATAATTGTAGTAGATGGGGCATGAGAGATGGCTCAGCTATTAAGAGCACTAGCTGCTCTTCCAGAGAACCTGGTACCCATAGGTTCTCTTAGACAGATGCAGTTGATTTTGACACTGGTGAGGCCCTATAACGTGGCTGCTTCCATGCCACCGTGACAGTAATGTGGGGGAGGTGGGCTGCAGTGACTCGGAAAGTGGCCACAGAAGGACAGTGAGAACCTGGGGCTGTGGCACAGTCCGCCAGAAATCTAGAAGAGAAGCAACTCAACCTTCATTTTCCCCTGGAGCCCACCTTTTTAACCGTTGTTTTGGGGAGGGGCAGTATGGCATTCTAAATGCAAGCTTTGCAACTCTAGACAAGCCTCTTCTCCTCGAGCCTCAGGTTCCATGAGTTTGATTCCTGGTTTTGCCACTTACCAGCTGCACATCTTTAGGTAAATGGCCTGTGCACTGTTTCAGCTTCTTCCTCCTTAAAATAGAGATGATAATAATTGTATAGATGCAGTTAAATGAATTGATTCCCCCCCAAAAAAAAAATGGGCTTAGTGTGTGTATGGTCACATAAAAAAGCCTACAGGAAAAATCAGCCACAGTCATCTCTCACACTTCACAATCCCTGCTAAGTGACCATCCAGGTGTTGAAGGCAGAGGGATTAGAGTCGGGGGCTGGGTTGACAGGGCAGGGCAACATGCCAGCTGGAGCTGTGAGGGACAAGAGGCAGAGAAGAATGGAAGTGCTGCTGTAATGGCGATGGAAACCCTCTGAGGGACAGGTTAGGTCGGGATGGATGGATACATGGCTGGCAAGCCCTGGCTTGCCTCATTTTGTTTGAGAATCAAAGAATAAGGAGGAGAATGTGAAGCTGCTAGGCCTGGGGTCTGACCTTACCAAGGACAGCAAGATGTAGCCTTGGACATAGCTTCTAACATTCCTGCCAAGTCCAACTTGGATTCTGACGGTGGCTGATTACCTGCGCCCCGTCCCTCCTGATACCATTCCCACACACCTGACACATTTGTATTTGCTTCTTTTGACTTTCAAGAATGCTTTCAAGAACCGTACCTACTCCATTACCAAAGGAACACTAAGCTAAAGTGCAGACTTTAGGTGCTGTGTCAGCCGCATGAGGTGACATGGGACCATTGTCTTCTTCCATTCTCCACTGGCCTGTTTGAAGTACCAGCTCTGTCACTCTCCGTAGCTTCCCTGCCTTCCTGATATGTGCCTGTTTTCACTGCTTATACCACTGCCCAGCCTTGCGTGCTTAAAAATCCTACTCAGATTTCTATCCTCAAAGCTTTCCGGCAGCTGCCTAGATTCTGTCCCTGTGCACTCATGAGAAAATCCCAGAGTATAAGCTTTACCTCTGGGCCTGCCTCTGGCCCTGGCTTGGTGTTCTCTGTATCCCTAGGATTGCCACAGGCCCTAAAAGAGGTGTTAGTATGAGCTTACGTAACCTAGTAAAGTGTCTTGTATCCAGAGGTGCTGTTGCTATGGTTTGGTTCGGTTTTTACTCTTGGGGTTTGGGTAAGTCCATACAGAGGTCAGGGGGCCACTTTGGGGAGTGGGTTTCCCTCCTTCCACCATGTTGAGTCAGGATCTCTCATCTATTTTCTGTCTTGACATAGGGGTACTGGCCTTATAGATACTTGCCACTAAAACTGGCTTGTTTTTGTTTTTGTTTTTTCGTGTTTGGTTTTTAATTTTTATTTATTTATTTTTTTTGAGACAGGGTTTCTCTGTGTAGCCTTGGCTGTCCTGAGGACCAGGCTGGCCTCGAACTCACAGAGATCCACCTGCCTCTGCCTCCCCAGTCCTGGGATTATAGGTGTATGCCACCACACCCAGCAACTGGCTTTTTCAGTGGCATCTGGGGAATCAATGTCAGGTCACCAGGCTTGTGTGGCAAGGACCTTTACCCCCTGAGCCACCTTCCGAGGCTCCTGGTAGATTTTAACTTATGTTTTCATCCAGAAGTGGAGTGCTATAAGAAAATACGCCCTTCCAGTGCCCTCCATAAACACTGGAAGGGAAGTGTGACAGTTTGAAAGAATTTCAAAAGCCTGACAGAATGCAACCTGTTCGCTTGTTTGTTTTGAGATGGAGTCTGGCTGTGCTGCCCCGGCTGGCCTTGAACTTCTGGGCTCGAATGATCCTCCTGCCTCAGCCTCCTGAGCAGCTGGGACAAATCATCCTGTTTCTAAAAAGACAGCTCTTTCTAACACTCCACCTCAGAACTTATCCTCGCTGTGGATCGCCAGCACCACTGGTTACTAGTTGTTGTTTTAAACCTTCCAGTCTGACCAGCTGTGCCCCACCCTTCCGAATCATTGCTGAGGGCCTCTGACTGCAAGCAGGGGTGGCTCTTCAGGAGCAGGGAGCCCTGAGCCAGCTCAGGGGAGGGGGCGGGCGGCAGGCAGCCTGGGCGGGGGTGAGGAGTTGTGGGCACTCATGGCTTCACTGTCTTTGCAGCCGAGCCCCTGCCGCTGATGGACCTGTGCCGGAGATCTATCCGCTCAGCCCTGGGCAGGCAGCGCCTGCGGGACATCGGCTCCCTGCCTCTGCCTCAGTCTCTCAAAAATTACCTGCAGTACCAGTGAGCGGCGCTAAAGACCTGCCGTCATCCGTGGTCACGGAGCACCTGGCTCCAGAGCGTCAGGACAGGCCAAGGACGCGGAAGAGGACTGCCTGTCAGTTGCCCTTGCTGCCATCAGCAGGGACCAGGAGGCCACCTAGTCAACCAGAGTGTAGAGACCATTTCTTCCTCAAGAGAATGAATAAAACATTTGGCAGGAGACGGCGTCCTGTTCCCCACTGCAGACAGGCCCAGGAAGATTGGCCAGTGGAGAGAAAATAGCTTCTGAATAATGAATGATGGAAGCGAGTCCTTGATGGTCCCATCCGTGTCTGCCCCTGGCCAGGGCAGAGAGATTACCCTTCCATTTTAAGACTTAGTACCACTTTGAGAGAAAAGTCCCCAGGGACCACAGCGGTGCAGAAGCGCCTGGGCTTAGCTCTCTGAGCTGGCTTCCTCACCCCTTCCACCATGGACAGAGCCCTTGGGCTGTCCCCACCCCTCTCTTCAGGGACTTGAGTCTGATGACTTGCCCCAGGGACAGAGCTTATTCTAGGGTATGATGGTTTGTTTTTTTGGTTTTTTTTGTTTTGTTTTGTTTTTTTTTTTTTTTAAGTAGCATTTGCATTTTGAAAGAGGAGTGTGGGGAAGATGGCTTTCTCCCAAAGGTGCTAAGGAGGATGGGGGCCTCATGACGTCAAGTCTGAGATACCCTGAGCGCCCCAGGCTCTGGCAGCTGCCACTCAGGGTAAAGCCTGGCTGTCACAAAGCTTTCTTTGAGCAAATTATTTTTTCACTCTAGGAGACTCCCACAGTTTGTTTGTCGATTCCAATACGTGTGTAACGTGCTGTTTATTTATCAGCCAGAGGCCTGGCGGTGTGGCCTTGGGACTGGCAGGGCGGCTCAGCTGTGACACAGTCTCTGCAGGACCCGAGACCTATCCTCTCACAGAACGTTGCTGCTGCTGTTGCTGCTCCTGCCAGTGCCACCACTCGGCCACCACTCGGCACCGGCATCATCGGTGTGTTCCAGATACTTTCCACCCAGACCCGGTTTTAACTGGAAAACGTCACACTGTGGGCCAGAGCCGGACAGTGCAGCTTCCACTTTAATGTGAATGTGACCTATACGCAAGGAACATTTCTAATAAAGTTTGTCACTCTGTCCTTGAGCTGTGTGTGCCAAGTGTTCTTTCAGGGGCGTGGGGAGGCAGTGCCATCAGCCTGTCTGGTCTGTCCCCAGATCCACAGACATCAAACCTGGGAGTGCCTCTCCACACACATTTTCCCTCTGCTGTCCACAGTCCCCACTGGAACCCCAACCCCAGAGATGTTGCAGAGAACTCACCTGGAAGATCCTCTGTTCTTGGGGTGTGCAAAGACTGCCATAACCTGGGTAAACTGCCAGCCAGGGTTAACCCAAGCCCAGTGTAGCTGGGGCTGAATGTGTGTGGCCACCAGGGGACAGTGCAAACTGCTGCAGGGCGAATGAGGCAGAGCTGGGCTGGGCTCTGCCAGGGCTGGGAGCGGGTTAGCGGTTAGGGACAGGACCAGTACAGGGTTCACTCCACAGTGTCAGCTACCCATATACCACGCCCTGGAGTCTGATGACACTGGACTCCAGCGTCAGACTGATGTCTCTGTCCTGGGTGGGGACATTTAGAGTTTGTTGACCTTGAGATGCTTAGCAGGGAATGGAAGGGGAGGGGGAGGAGGAAGGGACAGTTTCTTGTGCCCGGAAGAGTGGATGTGACACACACATTGTTTGCGCACCCCAAGACTGGAGACATGGGAGTAGGGGACAGAGGAGTCCCCTGACTGCAGGATCTAGGCCCCTGTGGCCGCTGGTGGTCTCAGCCTCCAAAGCTTTCAGTCATTGTGGTTGCTAAAGGCAGCTTCCTGGAGAGGCACCACCTCAAGCATTGGTCAGGAAGCCTGGGTTGGAGTCCAAGCTTCCTCATTTATACACAGTGACCTTGGCTAAGTCACTCCTTCCCCCCGACCAACACTGGAGGCTAGAACCAGTAGCCAGTGACTGAGTAAGGACCCTCCTTATCCCAGCCTTCAGGGTCTTCCAGTTTGGAAGAAGCTCTCTTGTCTCAGCTCCTAAGCCTCATTTGCATGGCTTCTCTCATTCCAGCAATGCTTACTCCACCCTCTTGTCGGGATCTGATGGGATCAGCCTTTTCTCCGGACACCCCACAACTGTCCACCAGTGTCCTCCTGCCCTGACCGATTGGTTCCTTACATCCCTACCTGAGCATACGTCTCCTGGCACCAGGGACCCTATCCTGAGCATTTGGATCCCTCTATCTTGTAGCCTAATGGACCCAGCAGGCTGTGGGTCTCTGGAAGGGGGTCCTGTGCCCGTACCTACCACATCATCCTAGATCAGACACATCAGCTCTGCAAAGGCCCACAGAGGGGCAGGATGGACGGGATGCCCTCTGCAAACTGGGACACTCACAGGAACCTGCTAGGGAAGTGATAAGGTGAGGATGAAGTCGTCCCAGAGCTGAGAACTTACCCCCAAGGCTTCCTGGGCCCTTTACTCTCTCATGCCCATGACTGCAGCACTAACCAGAAATGAGTGAGATCTAGCCCAGCCCTGCCAGACCTCACGGTCTAAAAGGGGGAGGGGGACTACATATGATCGCCAAGCAAAAAAGCACTATGTTGTTCAAAGAGGGAGATGGGGTAAGGTGGGACCTAGCAGTTAGGCTACAGAAAGCCACTTGGATAGTATGGAGTCCTGACAAGGAGCCAAACATGTGAGACGAGGGGGAACATAAACACACATACATTAAAAAAAAAAATTTAATAGTGTTGGATACAGCAGCAATGGCTAGGGGACACAACCACGTCAAGCCAATGCTCCACAGTCCACAATCACTGTCTGCGTGTGAACTACCCTGTTTTCATATCCTGGGGTGCTGCTCCTGCCATGGGGCTCCTGCTCATCTCCCTGTCCATGCTGGAGGCTTGTGTTGTTCCAGAACACAGCCTCAAAGGAGAGCAGAGCTACACTCTAGCCTGCTGTGCTGCAGCCGGAAGCGGCTCCCCGCTCTAACAGGCTGCTGGCCAGCACTGTGGCCTCGCCAGACCCCAAGCTAGATGACAATCTCTACCCTTGGTGCATTTCCTTCTGGGGAAGGAAGAAAGGTGCACCACATACTCCGAGAGGACATCCGTCCACCCTAAGACAACCAGACCCTTCTTTAACTGCACCGTCTCACCCTCCCTGTCTCCTGTAAGGCTCTGAACTTACAAGCAATGTCCTAACAAAATTCATGCTCCAGAATCACACAGTTGTGGTCTTTATAGTAAGAATACAGTGTTTAAGTAAGCTTTCACTTTTGTGTTGGGCCACAGTCGTAGCTGTCCTTAGCCACAATGCAGCCTGGGTGGAAGCCTAAAGCTTCATTAACACAGCATTTGCTTTCTGTTAACTTTTGCCCTAAGGACACTGATGTCACGTGACTCTTGCCGCATTTGCCTTCCAGTGACTCTGGACCGACCCCTTCGCTCTTCTCTCTTTAGTACTTTACAAGCCCAGCCCGCATGCCAAGCTAAAATACTCAGCTCTGTCATGTCCTCTCCTACCTTGTAAAGATTATGTCCTATCACAGAGCTCAGCAAAGTCATTAAAACTCGAAGGCTCATATATTTGAAAACGTGGTTCCCGGTTGGTGGAACTGTTTGGGAAGGTCTAGGAACTATGGCCTTATCAGAGGTATGTCAGTCGGGGGAGGGCTTTGACGTTTCAAAAGCCCGTGCCATTCCCGGTTCTCTCTGCCTAGTGCTCATGGATCAGTTGTAAGCTCTCAACTACTACTGTTCCAGGGCCATGCCTGTCTGTCTCTGCCGCCATGCTCCCTACCATGACAGTAATGGATCCAGCCTCTGAAACTGTAAGCTCTCATTTAAATGCTCTCTTCTATAATTTGTCTTCATCACAGTGTTTTGCCATGACAACAGAAAAATAACCAAGACAAACCCTATACAAGTCCTGTTAAATCCACCTGTCTCTTAACTCTCCTGTGAACATACAGCGACCTCGCCTAGTAAACTGGGCATCATCTTTCATGCTACATCACCTCACAAATGCCTGTCATTCCTTTATTCCCTTCCAGTCCATGACATGCCCAGGGACTGGCGATAACCAAGCATTCTTAATGGCTTACATGAGCCGGTCCAACAGGGACTGATTTGCCTCGTATTGCAGCAGATTACGCTGTCTGGGGGTGGGGTGGGTAGCTTTATTGGTCTCTCTGCTTCCACAGCACTCAGACTGATATCATCTGCCCTCACATCCCACAGCTGCACAAGCCAGGCTGTGAGATGCTCTTTTATTCCTTGTTTAAAAGCTTTCCCTGATTCAAGTAATTCAGATGTGGAGCATTCCTTGATTACCATCGTTTCCGGTGTTTGGCCATGATTAGGGACCCCACCCCACTCTGCATGACTCGTCAAGGTTTTTCTCTTTCTCTGTATTAAAGGCTGGACCTGAGAGATCTTTTCTATCACTTCTACCTTGTGTGCGCTCTCTCTCCCCTCCTCTTTCTTTCTCTCTCTCTCTCCCTCCTTCCCTCTTTCCCTCCACTGTCTGAATCCTCTCACTGGTTCCAGGACCTCAGGAAGAGCTCTTTAATACACATCTAATGTGTCCTCCATCTCATCCTCACAGTTCCCCCTTCTTCTGCCCCATCAGAGGCTAATGGAGAAGAAGATAGCATCTGCACATTGTTTGTCCTGTGCTATAGGCGAGTTCTTTGTGGGCAGACAACCGAGCCACAGCTGCATATCCTTTGACACATAGCAAGATGCCATCCAACCATTGCCGTAGTCTGTTCACGAATCTTTCCCATGTGCACTTTTTTAGAGACTGCATAATAGTATCTACACCACCTACAATATTCCTATTCTACAATAAAGAATAAAGTGTCTCTTTATTCATGAGGAGACCTCAGTCATCAGTGAGGCATACTTACCCATTCGGCAGACAGGAAGGCGCTCACTCCAGACACGGCCCCCGGGGTACTCTACTCTCACATGGCTTAGTCTTTGTAAGATGCTTTATCATCCACTACAACAGCAAGAAGCTCGCCACCCCATAGCACGCGGGGATGCTCCTGCTGTAGTTTGTTTCACTGTTGATCTGATGAAACACAGGCCAAAAGCAACTTCGGAGAGGAAAGGGCCGATGTGCCTTGCACTTGTAGGTCTCACTCCATTATTGGGGGAAGTCAAGGCGGGAACTCAAGCAGGCACTGAAGCAGAAACCACGATGGTGCAATGCTTGCTGGCTCACTCACTGACTGCTGCTCAGCTAGGTTTCTTACACCATCCTGGCCTACCTCCTAGGGAATGATACTGCATGCAGTGGGCTAGGCCCTCCTACATCACTTAGCAATCAAGACAGGGCCCTAGAGGCATGACCACAGGCCAGTATGATGAAGAAAATTCTGCAGTTGAAGTTCCCTCTTCCAAATGACTTCAGGTTGCATCAAGCTGTTGATAAAAACCAACCAAGACACCCTCATAAACGTTCCAGTTTAAACAAATCAACCTTCGTTGCATGTCTCACCCCCCATTGTAGGATTACAAGATGCTCTTCCTCAAGTTATCTTTGGTTCTGCTGGTCTCTGTTCAGGCACCAGTTGTATTGTGTGACTTTCCTAGGGAGACGTGAGCAGATACCTACTCACCCTAGAGGGAGTACTAACAGTAGACCGAAGAAATTATTCCCACGCCAGTCTAGTTTAGTGACCCAATGAGTTTATTGAAATTACTTAGAAGGTCAACATCAGGTATTACTTACAAGAGCATGAGGGACTTAAAGGCAATTTTATCCTTGAAAATCCCACTCTGTCTGGGCAACAACTCAGGAAAGTTTCACCCACAGAAAACCAAATCCCTTGGAAGACCTGGGTTAGCTTCAACAATTTGAGAGATCTCCCTGCTCCCAGCAATTACAGCAATTACTTACTGCTTGTTCATGACCTTGCAGGGGGCCTTGGGACTCTTGGGACTTTCTTTGTAAGTTCAATTAGCTTCTTGAGGCTTGTAAGTTTTATTAACTTCCTGAACCTTGCTGAGCCTCCCTCTTCTCTCCAGGAGGAAACATTTCAATTCAGAGAAGATGGATACACTACCAGC